ATGGATGTTTCTCTCTCATCGATGTTTCAAACTCTCTCTCCCTCTCCCTTTCCTCTCTGTAAAAAAATCAATAAAATATATATTTATAAAATATATAATATTCTGGCGGGTGGCAGTGGATGTGAACCCTTTCCCAGGGGGGCAAGGGCCAGCTCCCTCCTCCTCTTTTTTCCAAATAAAAATATATATAATATTCTCGGTTTCCAGAAGGGCTTAAACTATGACCATCATAACAGTCTAAGATATTGGCACAGGCCGAAACCAGTTTGGCTCAGTGGATAGAGCGTCGGTCTGCAGACTGAAAGGTCCCAGGTTTGATTCCAGTCAAGGGCATGTATCTTGGTTGCAGGCACATCCCCAGTGGAGGGTGTGCAGGAGGCAGCTGATCAATGATTCTCTCTCATCGATGTTCCTAGCTCTCTATCTCTCTCCCTTCCTCTCTGTAAAAAAATCAAGAACATATATTAAAAAAAAAAAAAAAAAAAAAAAAAAAAAAAAAGATATTGGCACAGAACTATCTTTACCCCCCTCATGCTTTCCCTGAAATTTCCCCGACTTAAAGCATAAGAGAGCAAAAGTCTATTCACAATACATATGCTAAAGGAATTGCCCAGTTCCACTCCTTATCAGTTTATCTTGACTTCATTGTTCTAAATTTTCTGCCTCTCTTGCCACCACTGACCTACTTAGCAAGCATATCAGGGTGGTCAATGAATATAGTAGACATCAGCTAGGGGGCTACTGGGAAAGTATTTTATTCCGGACAATCAAGAATCAACTGTGACCCATCCCTTCAATTTCCTTCTAGCCCAGTGGTCGGCAAACTCATTAGTCAACAGAGCCAAATATCAACAGTATAATGATTGAAATTTCTTTTTAGAGCCACATTTTTTAAACTTAAACTTCTTCTAACGCCACTTCTTCAACATAGACTCGCCCAGGCCGTGGTATTTTGTGGAAGAGCCACACTCAAGGGGCCAAAGAGCCGCATGTGGCTCGTGAGCCGCGGTTTGCCGACCACTGCCCTAGTCCTATAAACTCTGTCACTTTAAGACAGTCTCTTATTCTATAAAATGGGTTTGTTTTTAGTTCAAATAATAGAAAGATAAACTTAACTGCCTGACCTTGCAAGCTAGCCATCCAATGTAATAGACTAAAATAGACTAATAATGAGACTAATACTGGTAACAATTCCCATATTCTTACGCCAAGTACAAACTCGTTATGTATTCAAGGTTACAGCTGTCTGTAACAATAACTCACACGGAGCCCTTTATAATATCTGCAAAGAGGCTTGAAAAGTATAAAGACGGGAGACTTCCTGTGTGTGGTGCTCAGAGATATGGAAGAGACATCTCCCCCTGAGCCTAGCGCAATAAATGACTGATTAATTGGCTCATTAAGGTGTCTTGCATCTCGTTTGCTGATTCTCAATACAATAGGGCTAGGGTCTATCATTTTAGCACAATACCTCCCCAAGTGCTTTCATAACGGACTTAGAAGACAAGATAGGTATTTCAGGCCGCCTATTTTCTTTCTTTGGCCACCTATTTTCTTCTTTGAAAATATACTTTTATTGACTTTAGAGAGGGAGGGAGAGGAAGAGAGATAGAAGCATCAATGATGTGAGAGAATCGAAGAGAGAGAGAGAAACATCAATGATGAGAATCATCAATCAGCTGCCTACTAGGGATCAAGACCACACAATCCAGCCGGGACCGGTTTTGCTCAGTGGATAGAGCGTTGGCCTGCGGACTGAGGGGTCCCGGGTTCGATTCTGGGCAAGGGCATGTGCCTTGGTTGCGGCCACGTCCCCAGTAGGGGCTGTGCAAGAGGCAGCTGATCAATGATTCTCTCTCATCGATGTTTCTAGCTCTCTATCTCTCTCTTCCTCTCTGTGAAAAATCAATAAAATATATTAAAAAAAAAAAAGACCACACAATCCAGCATGTGCCCTTGACCGGAAATCAAACCATGACTTCCTGGTTCATAGGTCAATGCTCCATCACCGAGCAACACTGGCCGGGCACCACCTACTTTCTTTTAACCACTGAAGTTCCTAACATTCAGAGTGCTTATGAATGTATGTGCTGATTCTATTTCTTCAAAAGACCTTCACTGTCAACCTGCTAAAAAAAAAAATAGGCAGGTACAATATCAGATGAAAACTATTCACAAATTAAGACAGCCTGTGATGTAAGCCTTTTTGAGGATGCTCTTTCAAAACCAATCAACCCAGCCAGCCACGGGCAAACCGGTAGACAGAACTATTCTGAGAGCTGGCCTGGGTGGTTTTAACTTAGCACTTTGGCTCAGCATGACGTCATCCTTCAGTGCCAGCCAGTTTAGTAACCCATCATCTACGGCCCTGCAGTGGGATTTGGCCAGAGTGCCCTTGGCCAGCATATAATTTGGTTTCAACATCAAGTTCAGCATGAGAGCATATAAACACCACATTGTAATTTAAGACTCGCAAATAGAAAACACTGCCTGGTTGATTTTAGAACACATCACCCCGGGGAAGCTGGAGAATAGAAACGCCACCAACGCACACAGTTCAATGGTTTCCCTTGCCATCCCAAAATTGACACCGTCCTCTCTTCACAGAGGGTACGCAGGAGAACATCCTTACGGAGAATGTGGTAAGGAAATGGGATACTTTCAATTTGTTCTTCCCCAACACTGTCAAAAAGCAGCTTAAAAAAGAAAATAAACTCACCACAAATAGAGACCTACCCAAGAAAGTAACATGATGCACTGCACCTTCCTGTTTATTTAAATAGAACTACTTTTTTTTTTCTTCTTAAGAAAGACACAATGGCCAAAACCGGTTTAGCTCAGTGGATAGAGCATCGGCCTGTGGACTGAAGGGTCCCAGGTTCGATTCCGGTCAAGGGCATGTACCTTGGTTGCGAGCACATCCCCAGCGGGGGGGGTGCAAGAGGCAGCTGGCCGATGATTCTCTCTCATCGATGTTTCTCTCTATTCCTCTCTTCCTCTCTGTAAAAAATCAATAAAATATATATATTTTTAAAAAGACACAAGGGGGAAAAACCTAATAGTAAAGAATGAAGCACTTAAGGATGAGAGAAAGGGAATAACGGGGCAATGGGGGAGAGGGGAGGGTGCACTCCAAGGGAGTAAATCCCAATTCAGTAGCATCAGTTCTAGAAAGTTCTCCTTGGCCCATGTTAGATGACAGTTAGCATGTATTACTTCTGTAATGTGAAAAGCAGGTGCTAAAGTATATATCCTTGCCCTAGCCGGTTTGCTCAGTGGATAGAGCGTCGGCTGTGGACTCAAGGGTCCCAGGTTCAATTCCGGTCAAGGGAATGTACTTTGGTTGCGGGCACATCCCCACTAGAGGTTGTGCAGAAGGCAGCTGATCGATGTTTCTCTCTCATCGATGTTTCTAACTCTCTATCCCTCTCCCTTCCTCTCTGAAAAAAAAAAAAAAAATCAATAAAATATATATATATATATATTTTTTTTAAATATATTTTTTTAAAGTATACATCCTTAAGGACAGCATTTTTATAGGGTTCAAAAACAAGGAAAATGACACAATATAATGATTTAGTATATCAAAGTATGTGAAACATCTATAAAGAACAGCACAGGAATAAAAAACACCCCACAACACTATAGGTAGCTTACTTCTAGAAGGTGGGCAGGGATTAGGGAGGGATGGAGATGTGTCAGTGGTACTAGCAATGTCCAATTCTCAAGCTAGGGAGTCAGAGTTTGCTAATACTCTGCATTATAATTTACATGAATGTCACACACATTATCAAAACACCTAGTCTTGTCCTGACTGGTTTGGCTCAGTGGATAGAGCATCAGCCTGCGGACTTAAGGGTCCCAGGTTCAATTCCGGTCAAGGGCATGTACCTTGGTTGTGGGCACATCCCCCATAGGGGGTGTGCAGGAGGCAGCTGATCGATGTTTCTCTCTCATCGAAGTTTCTAACTCTCTCTCTCTCTCCCTTCCTCTCTGTAAAAAAATCAATAAAATATATTTTAAAAAATATTGCACTGTGGCAACTACATCAGTAGCACTGCTTCTGCAAGGGCCTACAACCTCCTTAGTACATGTGTGCCATCACACATTCAACCACTGATCACTCCTGGTGTCTCCACTTGTAATGAATGCAGGGACAGGGAACATGTCCTAATACAGCTTTTGAAATTCTTGGAAAGTGGCACCGCCCTGGGCGGATAAGGCAATTTTTCATAAAAGTCAGTTGGCAAAGGCAAGTTATCAAGGCCTGGATCATTAATATTTAACGAACAGGCTGTGAAAATCTGCTAAGGGAGTGTTTTTATTAATCCTCCATATGGAGATATCAGTTCCCCAAGAAGGCAGTCTACTTGGCAGATATTCTCTTTATATATATATTATTGATTTTGTACAGAGAGGAAGGGAGAGAGATAGACAGTTAGAAACATCGATGAGAGCGAGTCATCGATCAGCTGCCTCCTGCACACCCCCTACTGGGGATATGCCCGCAACCAAGGTACATGCCCTTGACCGGAATCGAACCCGGATCCCTTCAGTCCCCAAGCCGACGCTCTATCCATTGAGCCAATCCGGTCTCGGCTGGACAGATATTCTCAATGAAGTGGCTGTCCTCCTAACGCCACTTGTGAAAATTCCCTAACTCACTGAAGGTGGGTGCTTTTATAAGAAGCTGACTTTGAGCAGGTTTCATTGGAGATTGCCTAGGAAGGGGAAAACCACCATCTCTGTCTCCATCTAGTGGCAGCAGCTCATACTACAGCCAGAGCCCGAGGTTGATAAATCCGGTAACAAACAAGAATACAACAAAGCTGATTAATTCCCTCATAGATGCCAGGTTGGCTATTTACAAGCTTACCTGCTTCAAAGATCATAATCGAATTATATAGTTCTATCCTTGCCAGACATAAATTTCATGAACATGCATTCAAATGTCAAAGTAGAAAATGCTTGTTAAGAGTTTGGGGGACAGTTTAGCCTACCTGTGTAAAATACTTCCCGTCCTGCTTCAGCACTTTCATGGAGAGATCAAGAATCAGTCTGAGAAACTCCCAGGTGGAATCTGGATGTTGAAAAATGGAGGTTTATTAAATATGGGTTTGCATGCATCAGACACAACATACATCCATACTCAACAATACCAAAGAAAGAGCCACGAGCTCAAGACCCAGGAGCAGAGAGCTTACTAACCAAACGAAAATGTATTCTCACTTACGAACATATCAACTGGGTGTCTTGTACACGAGTGCACATATGCAAGCGGGTCAAAAGCAAATGTGCTTTACTTAGCACTGTTCTCACAGCACCAATAAAGATTCGACACAAAAGACAGAAGTTGGGATCTGCAAGACTTTAAGTAAGGGGGCTAAGCTAAGGTGCCCAGACGTCCCGCTTTGGGCGAGACAGTCCCGATTTTTGGAAAGCCAAAAGCGGGACGTCTGGTCACCTTAGGCTAAGCAGCAACATCCCGAGAGAGAGAAACTGCAAGGGTCATCAGGTAGGAATCTGGCCTGCAAAGTCAGCAGGAAGACAAGGTTCTACAAAAATCATTAACACTCAAACCCCAGCCCAGCAGTGACTTCAAGCCTGGGGTTTGAGAAGGGGTTGTTTAGGCAGGTCACCAGTTTGTTCCATTATAGGTTAAAAATCACCTAGGGCAAATGGTCAAACAAGCTAATGTATTAGTGGTGTAATTATGAGTCATTTTATTTCATGTCTGTTTTAAATGACTGAGTTAATTTGCTCATTTAGGAGCAGGACAAGATTTGACCAAAGCCAAATATGGCCATCTTTCCACCATGGGCCTCAGTTGAACTGCCTTTAAAAAAAAATGAAGACACTTAACTAGATAATCTCCAAGATCCTATCATTCTCACATGGTGCCAAGAAAAAACATTTCCATGAACATTTCCACGACTGTGGTTCAAAACAAAAGAAAACAAAATCTACCTTCTTCCGGAGAGGTGGAGATCGGAACAGCTGTCAAATCATTAATCACATAATCAAACTCTCTCCCTTCTTTGGCGTACCTCTTCAGTACCGGAATACAGTCCTCTACTAGAACCTTCCAGAAAGAACAGAAATAATGTGGGTGAGCCAACACATGTGGAAGTAGTTAAACGCTTGTAGAGGAAGGGGAAAATGCAAGCTGGGGCTGACAGCCCACAGCACCTGCCACACGAATAAAAATGACTTCCAGCCCTAGCCGGCTTGGCTCAGTGGATAGAGCGTCAGCCTGCCAACTCAAGGGTCCCAGGTTCGATTCCGGACAAGGGCACATGCCTGGGTTGTGGGCTCGATCCCCAGTGGAGGTCATGCATGAGGCAGCTGATCAATGATTCCCTCTCATCACTGATGTTTCTATCTCTCTCTCCTCCCTTCTTCTCTGAAATCAATAAAGAAATATATATATCTTTTTTAAATGACTTCCACTCATGCCTGTAAGAACTAAAATTCAGTGCTTACTACATGCTTCATGTGCCATCTCATTTTACCTAAAGCACTCTACAAGTGCTATCATTATCTCTGTTTTACAAACGGAGAAAACAACTTATGAGGATGCAAAGTTTACCCAAAAGCACCCAGTAACAGAACCAAATACATCTAGAGCTATCTGAAAGCCAAGTTCATGCTTTTAACCCTGATCTAAATCGCCTCTCCTACTCTCTGTATTTCCTTCTATTTTTCATTTTTCTTCTACATGAGTACTGAATAACTTCATTGTCTATTGATGTATTTTTGCACTTTACTCCAAACTCTTAGCCCAAGGTTTTTCAATTTCCTCTCACACTTATGAGAACAGTCGGCAATAAAGTCATGTAATTCATACCAGCTCCCAAAACACAGTTAGTAATGAGGGAAGTCCAGCAGCTAAGAGCTGGAATTCTCAGCAAGCAGTTTACAGTAAACTCAGGAACGAAGTTTGGGGGTTGCCTTATCTTTGAAGTGCTGGGGACCCATCTGGCTGCAGGCAACATCCTGAACTTGAACTAGGCAAGAGTTACTCCCCTCATCTTTCCTTTTTCTAGTTACAAAATACATATTTGGGTAAAAAGAATTCACATATAACAAATCAGAAATCAAGGTTCGCCTGGCTGACATGGCTCGGTGGTTGAGCATCAACCTATGAGCCAGGAGGTCACAGTTTGATTCCTGGTCAGGGCACATGCCTGGTTGCAGGCTCCATCCCCAGTAGGGGGCGTGCAGGAGGCAGCCGAAAAATTATTCTAATTATTGATGTTTCTATCTGTCTCTCCCTCCCCCTTCCTCTCTGAAATCAATAAAAATATATTTTTGTAAATAAGAAATCAACCTTGCCACAATCCCCTAAAATAATCTATTCCAGATTTTTCATATGAATGCTTACACATATCCTCAAAGTCTCATCTATGGCTCGCACTGACCACTGGGGGTAGACACTCAATGCAGGAGCTGCCCCCAGTCCACAGGGTGGGAGCAGGCTCCCGACCACCCACAGATCAGCCCTGATCACTGGCCAGGCCTAGGGACCCCACCCGGTGCCAGAAATCTGTGCACCGGGCCTCTAGTGTTTTATAATGTGCTTCACTTAATACATCATTCAAGTATAACCATACAAAAAGAAGGCACTAACACCCCAGTTGCCTTCAATCTATTCATCAATCCCATTTAAGTGCTTAAAAAATCTCAAGATTTTTTCCCTGTGCTCATAAAGATTCTTAAAAACTCTCATCTGCAAATAAAAACAAGTGCTTATTCTTTTTTGTAAAACTAGGATCACACACATTGCTCTAAACTTGGAAATATTTAGCTAATAGCATTCCAGATAATAATGTTTGTAAAAACTGTATCATTCTATTAAAATGTTCTACATTTAGCATCTGCAAGCCTTGGCCCCTACAAATACAGCCATAATAAACCTCCCCAATAAAGTATAGATGCTTTTTTTTTTTTGTCTGAGGGCTGAATGCTAAAACAAGGGATTGCTGAGACAAAGGCATGTGCATTTCAGTTTTTAAGGCAATTCACCCTCCAACTGTGTCCTTTCATCCTCTCTAGCATTGGCTGTTACCCCCTTCTTCTATTTGTATCAAATCCCTTGCTAATATTTTCACATGAACTCCTTGCACACCTCCTACTGGGGATATGCCCGCAACCAAGGTACATGCCCTTGACCGAAATCAAACCTGGGACCTTTCAGTTGGCAAGCCGACGCTCTATCCACTGAGCCACATTGGTTAGGGCTCATATGAACTTCTTGGACCACCAACAGGGGTCTAAAAGTTTGCAGGTTGCCCTGGCCGGTTTTGCTCAGTGGATAGAGCATCAGCCTGCGGACTGAAAAGTCCCGGGTTCGATTCCGGTCAAGGGCATGTACCTTGGTTGCAGGCACATCCCCAGTAGAGGGTGTACAAGAGGCAGTTGATCGATGATTCTCTCTCATCAATGTTTCTAACTCTCTATCCGCTCTCTTCCTCTCTGTAAAAAATCAATAATATATATATATTTTTTAAAAGAAATGAAAAATATAAATAAATAAATAAATAAAAGTTTGCAGGTTGCCCTAGCCGGTTTTGCTCAGTGGATAGAGCATCAGCCTGCGGACTAAGGGGTCCCAGGTTTGATTCCGGCCAAGGGCATGTACATGGTTGCCGGCATATCCCCAGTAGGGAGGGTGCAGGAGGCAGCTGATCGATGTTTCTCTCTCATCAATGTTTCTAACTCTCTATTCTTCTCCCTTCCTCTCTGTAAAAAAATAAATAAATAAAATAATATATATATATATATATATATATATATATATATATATATATTTTTTTTTTTTTTTAAGTTTGCAGGTTATTTGACTTCTGCCTTCTGAGAAGTACCAGTTCATACGGTTAAACCATTTTTTTAAGTAGCTAATTTAAAAATTTTTAAAGTTGTACGGTCTCTTTATATATTAAAGGGATTAAGTCCCTGTCCTGTTTGTTAGAAGTATTTTTTCAGTCTGCCTTTTGACTTTATTATGTTGTCATTACAATATCTGAGGTTCTTGTCCTTTTTAAAAATGTTTCTTTCCCAACTCCTCACTTGCCTATATGTATTAGTTTTGTTTTTGTTTTTCAATATATATTTTTATTGCTTTCAGAGAGGAGAAAGGGAGGAGAGATAGAAACAACAATGATGAGAATTATTGATCGGTTGCCTCCTGCATGCCCCCTCCTGGGGAAGGAGCCCGCAACCCGGGCATGTGCCTTTGCCTGGAATCGAACTAGGGACCCTTCAGTCTGCAGGCCGACTCTTCCCACTGAGCCAAACCAACTAGGGCTATACATTAGTTTTTATAGAGAGAGCTTAAATCATCTGACATTGATTTTTCTATGGTTTCTAAGGTTAATTAGCTTTGTTCTCATGCACAGATACAGTCCATGATGCCAGCATCACTTATTAAATCAACTCAATCTCCTTTACCCAAGCCAAATGATTAATAGAATGAAGGAACGGAGTGAAGAAATACAATGGGGTCACTGTGGTCAAGCTGCTAAATTATAGAAATAAAGTAGGCTGAGGCACAAATGATTGTATTCTTGCCTTAACTATCCTAGCAACTAAAACTTCTGAACTTTCCAGTCCTGTGTCAGTGCCTGCATACACATCTGCTGGTTGTGCATCAATACCTGCACACACACCAAACCCTCACATGACCATATGAATGACCTCAAGAAGGAATTGTTCCATTGTCCATATCACAGGACATGTGAAGCTTACCATCCTGGACCGATTCATGGGCCAAGAATGCAGGAATTAGTCTCCTGAAGAATGTACTTTTTTACTATGAAAACTCAGCTTTGCCCTGACCAGTTTGGCTCAGTGGATAGAGCGTCAGCCTGCAGACTGAAAGGTCCCAGGTTCGATTCCAGTCAAGGGCATGTACCTTGGTTGCGGGCACATCCCCAGTGGGGGGTGTGCAGGAGGCAGCTGGTCGATATTTCTCTCTCATTGATGTTTCTGATTCTCTGTCTCTCTCCCTTCCTCTCTGTAAAAACTCAATAAAATATATATATTTTTAAAAACAACTGCCAATCTCCGGAGCAGTTTCTCAATCAGTTGAGATTTTGCTTCCTAGCAACTTTTGTCAATTTGGCTCAAATCAACTCATAAAAATTCTCTACTTGTTTGAATCTTTCTTGAGCTGATACCATCCTATATAATAAAAGGCTGATATGCAAATAGACTAATTGACAGAACAATCGGTTACTATGACATGCGCTGACCACCAGGGGGCATGTGTGGAACATGGCAGGCGTTGGGCATGGCAGGATGGTGGAGAAGGTAAGCGGGGGGGTGCCCGGGGCACTGTCATTGGGGTGAGCCTCTGGTGGTTACTGAAAATTCTTTGCTCCCACAAGCTGCTGGCTTCAACCCTGCTCGCACCCGCTGCTGGCACCAGAGCCGCTATTTGCACCCGCTGCTGGTTCCAATTGCTCAGTGCCCTCAGTGGGTGCAAACAGCAACTGCCAGCCCCAATCGCCCCTGAGGGCTTCTCCACCTCCCCCTGCTCCTGAGGGGCGATCGGGGCGGCAGCCGCAGCTCGCACCCACTGCTGGCACTGGCCCCGATCACTCCATGCTGTCAGCTGGTGCAAGTGGGGCCAGCACTGTCAGCGTATGGGAGCGGCAGCAGAGGAAGCGGGGCTACCAGCAGAGTGGGGACCGGGAGCCACGACAGGAGGAGCAGGACGAGGGCATGGAGGATGGGCCGAGACCCTCCCCTGTGTCCACCGCAGCCTCGCGGCTCACAGTTCCTTTCAAGATGCACGAATTCATGCACTGAGCCCCTAGTATAATCTTTAGGTTTCTGATGGTTTCTATTATGTTTAGATAGTTGCCCTTCTTTTGCAATTTTATTTTACCTAAAGAAATTTCATTACCCTTCGTGACAGCATGGACAGACCTGGAGAGCATTATGCTAAGTGAAATAAGCCAGTCAGGGAAAAATAGGTATCATATGATTTCACTCAAATGTGGAATTCAATTAATAAACTGAACTACCATGCAAAATAGAGACAATAGAGAGCAGGCAGACAGCTCTGGTGGGGGAAGAGGGGATGGAGAGGGTTAAAGTGGTTGAGCAAAAAATAATAAAAGAGAGAGGCCCTGGCTGGTGTTGCTCAGTGGTTAAAGCGCCAGCATGCTCGTGGAAGGGTTTGATCCTGGGTCAAGGGCACATACCCAGGTTTCCAGCTGGATCCCTGCCCTGATCAGGGTGAGTACGGAAGGCAACCAATCAATGTGTCTCTCTCACATCACATAGATGTTTCCCTCTGCCTCTCTCTCTCTCCCTCCCACTCACTCTTTAAAAAAACAAAAAATCAATGGAAAAAATATCCTTGGGTGAAGATTAACACACAAAAAAGAGAGAGAACAGTGTGGTGATTATGGAGGTGGAGGTGGAGGTGGAAGAGGCCTAGAGGGGATAGATGTGATGGGAAAAAAGAAATTTTAAAAGTATTTTATAAATACTTCTAAGCCATCTGAATGTCATAATACAAATATCTCGATCTTTGAAAAAGAGAATGACTATATATTCCCAAATGCTTTATCATCTATTAATGTCAATTATTTTCTCTGTTATGAATAATTTAATGGAGAAAATAATTGACATTAATAGATGTCTTCTTAAATGATGTTGTCTTAAGATTTTTACATTTATGAACTAAACTTTCTTGCACATAATATATATCATTCTTTAAATAAAGTGTCAGATTTAATTTACTACTATTTTACTTGGAAATCGTGCACATACAAAAAAGGCTTTTAGTATTCTTTTTGTACTATTTTAATGATTTCAGTAGAACACTTATTATTTTCTAAAAATGGTTAACAGAGTAATTTTGTTTTTCAATTGATAAACAGTTGCAATGTCCTGGTGGTTTGGTAAGGGTGGTAGAATTTTAATGCCTAAGGGGGTTGTCTGCCAGGGAGACCAACTCCACCCCTTTACAGCTGGGGAAACTGGGCGCCTCAGAAGAATTTCACAGGCTCCCCCTGCTGGTTGTTCTGTTCCAGAAAGAAGGCAAGGGGAAACCGATGTGTTCAGGCAAACAATTTACTCAAGAGCCCAGTCATTTCCAATAAAATACAACTTTTCCCTTCTCTAAAATGTCCAGCTGTCTGTGTCACCTTCTGCCTCCAGTGCTCTGCCCTCAGATGGACTTTCAATTGGAAAAGTTTATTCCCCAGGCCACTAGTAAATCTTCCCACTTATATATGCCCTTCTATATACACTGAGTGGCCAGATTATTATGATCTCTGAACGCATAATAATCTGGCCACTCAGTGTGTGTGTGTGTGTGTGTGTGTGTGTGTGTGTGTGTGTGTGTTTACTTATTAGAGGCCCAGTGCATGAATTCGTGCATGGGTGGGGTCTGGCCAGCCTGGCCAGGGGGAGGGAGTGACATAGGCGGTTGGCTGGCCTGCCTGTTGGTCGAACTCATTGAGGGGACAATTTGCATATTAGCCTTTTATTATATAGGTATACACTGAGTGGCCAGATTATTATGCGTTCAGAGATCATAATAATCTGGCCACTCAGTGTAATTCCTCTCAGCTTAAAAATTAACATATGTGTACCGTGAAATCAAAGTAGGATACACACTCTTTAGGGACAATGGGATGGGATAATGTACAAATCAACAAACTGAAGCTCTCATCTATTAAAATGTCTATACATCTGGAGATAACACAAGATTTTGTTGAAATAACTATTTGCTTGATTATCTTGTTCTAAAAAGTACTGTAGGTATGAACATCAAACATGCATCCTAAAATATAATATAAAATATATCCTACAAACTGTAATGATTGAACTTGAAAGTACAGTAGAATTTAGGACAGGAACCACAGAGAGATTATCCAGGGTAGAGAGGCAAAAGGTGGTGGTTGCCAGGTCATAAAATGGCACATGACATCATTTATTTATTTAATTATTTATTTTTAAATATATTTTATTGATTTTTTTACAGAGAGGAAGGGAGAGAGATAGAGAGCTAGAGACGTCGATGAGAGAGAAACATCGACCAGCTGTCTCTTGCGCACCCCTACTGGGGATGTGCCCGCAACCAATGTACATGCCCTTGACCGGAATCGAACCCGGGACCTTTCAGTCCGCAGACCGACGCTCTACCACTGAGCCAAACCGGCTTCAGCTACATGACATCATTTATATAAAAATGCTGAAACCAGTTTGGCTCAGTGGATAGAGCATCAGCCTGGGGACTGAAGGGTCCCAGGTTCAATTTCGGTCAAGGGCATGTATCTTGGTTGCTGGCACATCCCCAGTGGGGGGCGTGCAGGAGGCAGCTAATCAATGTTTCTCTCTCATCAATATTTCTCTCACTCTCTCTCTCTCTCTCCCTTCCTCTCTGTAAAAAATCAATAATAATAATTAAAAAAAATAAATAAATATATATATATATATATATTTAAATCAATGAACCCAAGCAGGTTTTGTTCAGGGGATAGAGCGTCAGTCTGATGACCAAAAGGTCCTGGGTTCGATTCTAGTCAAGGGCACATAACTTGGTTGCAGGCTCCTCCCCAGCCCAGGCCTGGCTGGGGCTAATACAGGAGGCAACCAATCAATGTGCTTCTCTCACATCGATATTTCTGTCTTTTCTCCCTCTCTCCCGCTCTCTCTAAAAATCAATGGAAAAATATCCTCAGGTGAGGATTTAAAAAAAGAAAAGAATGAATGTTATTAAATTCAGAAATTATAGAGTCCTTTCTTATTATAAGTACACTTCTGCCCTAAATATAAATCTATATGTAACTCAGAGAAAGAAGGGGAGCAGAACATGCCACCTCAAAATATGCTGCATTGGCATACTGACTAGAGAGGCTTTCTCTGAACTCCCCTTATCTGCCTAAAGACAGATCCTCCAAAAGAAACTCAACTGTCATCCATTCCCCTCCCCAGAGGATTCAACCAGGAACATCGCCTCTTATCACAGGAGAGAAGATTGACACTATGTGGACTCAGACAAACTTTGTTACAAACTACCTTGCCTTCTATTTTTCTAAGGGCCCATCCATCTTTCCAAAAAGTCATTTACTCTCCCTTAAAACACCTACATCCCCTTTCTCTATTTAAGACCAGAAGCCCCGTGCACAAAATTCATGCACAGGTAGGGTCCCTAGCAGCTGCCAGCTGAGGCCTCCTTCTCTGGCTGCTGGTTGTGGGCCAGGGCTTAATTTGGTCCACGCTTCCCCCTGGTGGTTAGCACACGTCATAGCGAGTGATCGAACTCCCGGTCGGTCAAACTCCAGAGTGAACACTGCATATTAGGCTTTTATATATATAGATGATATTTAAGCCTAAATTCTAAAGCTACCTCTGTGTTACTCACTTTTCTCTTGGGATCTTCCACATGTTCATGAGGTATACATGCCAATAATGTCTGTTTTTCTCTTGTTAATCTGTCTGTGATTACAGGAGTCTCAACCAAGAACTAGAAGGGTAGACAAAAAATTCTCCTCCCGACAAGATGATCTATTTATCTTCTTAATCAGTTATACTTAAGGTTGTTTTAGGAAGGCACAATTCAGATTAATTATATTATCAGTTCACTTAAAAACTTTATAGGGAAAACACAAGTACCTGATAGCAGTCTCCTTTAAGATTGTCTAAGACATCACCACATGTTTTTCGCATGTATTTCTTACATCCATCAATCACCATTTGGTCAATGTTCGGAACAGATTAAGGAGAAATTTAGCCAGAATTTAAACATATCAAAGAATTCTGAAATAGTAATACTTTTTTTAAAAAGTTAGGACAAACAAGTTTATAGCATTCATTTAGGTATCACAAGTTAAAAAAGATGAGTGAGACAATGATTATATTTTTGGACCCAGGATACTCAAAAAGAAATGATTTTTTTTCCTCCTCATAAAGAAGTTATTTTGGCAACTGCTGAGTAGGCATGGTACCACAGTTGCTTGCTCTTTAATTTGCAACTGGATTATCTCTGCTTCTTTGTTGCTGGCCACATAAATCGAAATGTTTGTTCAAGGCACTCTGCCGAAACCCGTTGGGCTCAGTGGATAGAGCGTCGGCCTGTGGACTGAAAGGTCCCAGGTTCGATTCCAGTCAAGGGCATGTACCTTGGTTGTGGGCACATCCCCAGTGGGGGGTGTGCAGGAGGCAGCTGATCGATGATTCTCTCTCATCGATGTTTCTAACTCTCTATCCTTCTCCCTTCCTCTCTGTAAAAACTCAATAAATTTAAAAAACAAACAAAAAAACAAAACAAGGCACTCTTGATCACACATTTCCTTCAGAACATGAACTGGAATCACAAGACAAAAAGGGAGGTAGAAAACAAAAGCAGCCCACTGACCCTGATTCCATTTTAAAAGGATATCTCTACCATAGTGACCATCTTTGGTTTCAGTTTGACTATTTCACATAAAATGCCCCCATCTCCACCTCCCAGGATCAGCACGTCTTTGCCAGTGTAATCTTCTTTGCCACTGCCCATGATGGCCCGGGTATACGCCAAATCACTCTCCGCCAGATCTAGGAAGGAAGCAGACTCAAATTGGTGACTCTACCCACACCTCTGGGAAGGGCTGGATTCTTGCCCAAGATGTTTTATTTTCCATTTTAAACACATTCGACAAGGCACCAAGGTAGTTTTTTTGGATTATGGAGTTTTCACCAGTCCCAAAACAATAGATTACACATAGATGACATACATGTCTGCATTAGTCATTTGGAAGAAAACTCGGTCTTAAGGATGTACTGATGTGAATTATTAAAAGCAATTATGGCTTTCCAGATGAAATAACACAATATCTAAGAGTTGCTGCAAAATATGAGAAAGCCCTAACCGGTTTGGCTCAGTGGATAGTGTCAGCCTGCAGACTGAAAGGTCCCAGGTTCGATTCCGGTCAAGGGCATGTACCTTGGTTGCAGGCACATCCCCAGTAGGTGGTGTACAGGAGGCAGCTGATCGATGTTTCTCTCTCATCGATGTTTCTAACTCTCTATGCCTCTCCATAAAACAATCAATAAAATATATTTATAAAAATAGGAGAAAGAGTCCAGCCAGGATAACTCAGTGGTTGAACACTGACCTATGAACCAGGAGGTCATAGTTCAATTCCCAGTCAAGGCATATGCCCAGGTTGGAGGCTAGACCCCAGTGCGGGGCATGCAGGAGGCAGCTGATCAGTGATTCTTTCTCATCATCAATATTTCTCCCTTCCTCTCTGAAATCAATTTAAAAAAATGAGAAAGAGTGGACTGGCGTTTAGGGGAAACGAGCCAGGCCAGGAGTCAATAACCGTTGACATGCAGTGGTAAGTATATTATGTGGGTTTGTCATACTATTTGGTCTACTTAGATGTGAGGTTTTCCATAACAAAAATGTTTTTGTAAATAAGCAATTATGTACTTTTGAAATACAATCCAAATACTCATTACTAAGAAATTAAGAAAAAGGAATGTCGAGACAAAGTTTTCCTGGTTCTGCTGTAAAACAGGAAGGCCCAGACAACCCACAAGTTCATACTACAGAAATGTTCATTTCAAAACCACCAGTGCCAAGGACAAGCTTGGGCAAATCCACAAAAGTGATATTTGTCAGGAAAACAGCATAATCCAACAGTTACTTAAAATTTGTTTTTAATATATTTTTATTGGTTTCAGAGAGGAAGGGAAAGATGGATAGAAACATCAATGATGAAAGAGGATCACTGATCCTTGCACGCCCCCTACTGGGGATCAAGCCCACAACCAAGGCATGTGCCCCTGATCAAAATCGAGCCCGGGGCCTTTCAGTCCGCGGGCCGACGCTCTATCCACTGAGCCAACCCAGTTGGGGCCAACACAGTCGCTTTGTTTCATAACTGGGGGAGGGCTGGAATACTTACTAACATCCCCACTCAGGATGAGAATATTTCCAAACTGCTTCGAGTGCAGAATTTTAATGTTCTGATAAGGTGAGTCTTCGTCATACACCACTTCATCTATGTCATACTCAACCAGGCGGCCATCAGCAGTGGGCCAGTACCTGTCAATGGTCCCTCCTCGAACTATGGGTGGTAATCTGGAAAAAAAAGGAAACAGGAATGAGCCTTGTAAGAAGGCCGCTTCTATTTGACCCAGTGATCCCACTCCTAGGAATATATCCCAAGAAACTAGAAACACCGATCAGAAAGGATATATGCACCCCTATGTTCGTAGCAACACAACTCACCATAGCCAAGATTTGGAAACAGCCTTAAGTGCCCAGCAGCAGCTGAGTGGATTAAAAAACTGTGGTACATCTGCACAATGGAATACTACGCTGCTGTAAAAAAGGAGTTCTTACCATTTGCAACAACATGGATGGAGCTGGAGAGCATTATGCTAAGTGAAATAAGCCAGGCATGGAAAGATAAATACCACACAATCTCACTCGTTTGTGGAATATAATGAACAACATAAACTGATGAACAAAAACAGATCCAGAGACAGAGAAACATCAATCAGAACGTCAAACCTCAGGGGAGGTAGGGGACAGTGGGAGTAGGGGGGAGAGATCAACCAAAGGACTTGTATGCATGCATATAAGCCTAACCAATGGACACAGACAACGGGGCATGAATGGGGATGGGTGGGAGGTAATGGGGGAATAAGGACACATATGTAATACCTTAATCAATAAAGAAATTTAAAAAAAAAAAGGCCGCTTATGGTGAGCCTGCCTTAAAATTGGACCTGGGAGCAAGAGTATGTGAAAGCAAGCCACATGAGCCCAGGCTGACTCCTGAATAGCACCCACAGATCTAATGCCTGGCCTTTTAGGTTTAACCTGCATGGCCACCCCCAAATCTCCACAACTGCTGCACATAGGCCTTTATTCTTTAAAAACTCTCCTGGCATGGTTTAAATTTTCCTAATAACAAGTGGAAGGAGAAAATGGCCGCTGCAGACATCACACTTGACCGCTAATACGTCAGCAGGGATCTCTTAAGACTGCCTGCTTAACCCAAGCCATTGTCACATGCCTGCCAAGTACACACGGACGGAATACCATCATCTAGTTCAGAATCCACTCTCGAGTGCTTCCAATCGTGCAATGTCCTTTGTAGTTGTTCTGCTTTTGAACAAAGAATCATACACTATATTTTGCTGGCTGTTTTTACCTTTTTTAGCTTCATTTAATCTAGACTAAGTCCCCCTCTCCCCAACCTTGTATGGTTCATGACATTGACATCTTGGAAAAGTCCAGACCAGGTACTCTGCAGAAAACCCCTCACGTGGGTTTGCCTGATGATCTTCATTAGAGTCAGATTGACATATAGCCTAGAGCCGTGGTCGGCAAACTGCGGCTCGCGAGCCACATGCGGCTCTTTGGCCCCTTGAGTGTGGCTCTTCCACAAAATACCACGGCCTGGGCGAATCTATGTTGAAGAAGCGGCGTTAGAAGAAGTTTAAGTTGAAAAATGTGGCTCTCCAAAGAAATTTCAATCGTTGTACTGTTGATATTTGGCTCTGCTGACTAATGAGTTTGCCGACCACTGTCCTTGAGGCATCCCGTTAGGGACAGGAAATGTGTGCTTGTCCTATTATTGCTAAGAGTGACCAAGCAATTGAAGTAGCTGACACCAGATCTATCCATGTGCAAGGGTACCTTTCTTTCCCTTTAAAATTATTACAGTGGCTTCAAACGGATGATTTTCTGGCTCCGTTATTGCAGAAGTGTTCAGTATTTCAGGCAGGGTGAATGAACTAGAACCTACCAGCAGGGGACACTAAGTGACAGGGAAACACAGACCTGGAAAAGGGGCTTGGCAAAGCTGGCTGGAATACAAACACCGTGACAACTCACTGCACACATGGCACAGCCCGTCTGCAAGTCATGTGATCCCGGACAGCGGTGTTTGATAGCAAGACAGCTGCGGACACCTCACACACCAGGAGATGTGGCCTCTGATTGGCTCCGATGGCTTTCTTTTCCCTCCCCGCTCACTGCTTCCCAGGGACCAGTCTGGACCTGTGGTAAGTTAACGGGGCTTCCCGTGGGGAGACAGTACTAGCGTCTGTAAAGAACACTGAGCTTTACAAAGCCAAGTTCCCATAAACTCTCATTTAACCAACAGCTCCTGATTTACCACTCCATCTTCCAGATCAACAAATTCAGCTGTTGGAATGTTAGGCCGACCAGACGTTTTTCTTGCAAAATGTGGAGCCCCAATTGGGACACCTCCCCCCAGCCCAGGAGCAGGCAGATAGGATTTGGATAAGGTGATCAGACGTCCCGCTTTTGGCGGGACAGTCCCGATTTTTTCCTTAACTACAACACAGGAGTTTGTAAAGACTGGCAAAGAAACGAGGATCTGCAGCAGGATGGGGAAGGCATCACGGCGAGGAAGCCCTCATCCTACCAGGACGTGCGTTTATCTCCCCGTGATGGGTAAGGGGAGAACTCCGGAAGCCTGCAAAGCTCTTGTTCCAACCATCGCTGCTGAAAATCAAAAGTGGGTGGTAGGAAAGTCAGGCAGACCCTGGCCAGTGTGGCTCTGAGCATCATCCAGGGCACCAAAAGGTCCCTGGTTTGGTACCTGGTCAGGGCACATGCCCAGGTTGTGGGCTCGAACCCCGTCGGGATGTATGCCCGAGGAAACTAATCGATATTCATTCCCGCCCCTCTTCTCCCTCTCTCTCTGTCTGTCTCTCTCTCTCTCTGTCTGTCTCTCTCTCTCTCTCTCTCTGTCTCTCTTCCCTTCCTCTCTCAAATCAATAAAAAAATATATTTTTTTAAAGAAGACAGCCCTAGCCGGTTTGACTCAGTGGATGGAGCATCAGCCTGCAAACTCAAGGGTTTCAGGATCGATTCTGGTCAGGGGCATGTACATTGGTTGTGGGCACATACCCGTGTGTGTGTGTGTGTGTGTGTGTGTGTGTGTGCAGGAGGCAGCTGACTGATGTTTCTCTCTCATCGATGTTTCCAGCTCTCTATCCCTCTCCTTTCCTCTCTGTGGAAGATCAATAAAATATATTTTTTTAAAAAAAAAAAAGAAAGAAAGAGCCGAAACCGGTTTGGCTCAATGGATAGAGCGTCAGCTTGGAGACTGAAAGGTCCTGGGTTCAATTCTGGTCAAGGGCAAGTACCTTGGTTGCGGGCATATCCCCAGTAGGGGGTGTGCAAGAGGCAGCTGATCGATGACTCTCTCCCATCGATGTTTCTAACTCTCTATCTCTCTCTCCCTTCCTCTCTGTACAAAATCAATAAAATATATATTTTTTTAAAAAAGAAAGAAAGAAAGAAAGACAGTCAGGCAGAATATGCGTGAGGCCTCAGGTACACTGTGTAAATTGTAAGAATTATTTGCAACAAAACTGATGTGAGCTTGTTTTCCTGTTCCTTTTCTCCTTTTCTTTTCAAAAGTAGAATACAAAAATACATTTTCTAAAAAAACAAACAAACAAAAAATACCCACAACCACCCAAGGCTTCATAGATAAAAAATTACTTTTATTTCATTGCCCGTAGGGGAGTAATAATTGCAGATATCACTGACTTATCTGTTAATGATTGACTCTAACAATGTCACTCCCGGGAGAGAAAAGTGGCCCCATCCTTGTCTTTGTGGAGTCGATCACAAAGGGCCTCCCACAAAGCATTTCCAACCACCTCTCGCCTCTTCCGCCCTGATTTTATGAAGAGACGGAAAAACAGCGGCCAGCAAACAAAAGGTCCTCCTTTCGAGCTGAAAATCTGAAGCCTGACTTTGCTACCCCTTTAGAAACTCCGAGACCAGAAAGACACAAACAGACCAGACTTCTCATAAATGCTCAGGCCCATAAAGGCTTTCCGTCTGCTTCCTTCTTCCCAGAATGAAGGCCGATAAAAATCAGACCAATAAACCTCAGGGGCATTGTGAAGCCAGCCAATCCATCATCTCCAAGTTTACACATCTTACAGCCCGGCGGGAACCCTTTCCATCCAAAGGAAAATTCTTAGAAATGGAGAAAAAATAACAGATCCAGAAAGGAGCGTGGGTGTGGATGTGTTTTTTAAGGCCGGTGAAGGGGCTGAGAACACATCAACTGAACTTGGCTTTCTGACAGAAATTAAAAAAAACAACAACAAACAGGCAGCTGAAGCCGGTTTGGCTCAGTGGCTAGAGCATCAGCCAGCCTGCTGACTGAAAGGTCCCGGGTTCAATTCCGGTCAAGGGCATATACCTTGGTTGCGGGCACATCCCTGGTAGGGGTGTGCAGGGGGCAGCTGATCAATGTTTCTCTCTCATCGATGTTTCTGGCTCTCCCTCTCTCTTCCTCTCTGTAAAAATATCAATAAAATATATATTTTTAAAAAGCGGGCAAATTCTGCACGATGCCATGTTCTTTTCACTTGCCGTTGCCTGCTCTCGGCCCCGCCAGACACTAAAGCCTTTCTAGTTCTGGCCCATGGCCCTGTTGGCTCCTTACACTTAGCATGCTGAGCCACGAAGTACCTGAACATCCTAGCTCTTGCCAATAGGATTCCCTCTTCTGGAAAGCGCCATGCACTACAGAGATCTTTATTGCAGGTGCTTCCATCGGTGACGACGTGACCTTGGTCAAGTCCCTGTGTCTCTGCATCTATGTGTTGGCCTTTATGAGCAAGGGACAAGCCTCCTCACTTTGGGGGGCCTGCTAAGGAACCACCCGGGCAGGCAAGAGCAAACTCCTGAGAATGATTTGCTGAGGATCCACGAATTCCCAGGACCTACCACACGCTCTCCCTTCTAATAAATGCTGGCACTATAGCTTCTAGGAAAGCTCTCCACATCTGACACCACTGGCCGTCACCAGCCATTAGATACTGACAATGAGGGGAGTGAGACTGAAGGACTGAACTGTTTCTTTTTTTAAAATATTTTTATTGGGCCGAAACCGGTTTGGCTCAGTGGAAGGAGCGTCGGTCTGCGGACTGAAAGGTCCCAGGTTCGATTCCCGTCAAGAGCACGTACCTTGGTTGCGGGCACATCCCCAGTGGGGAGGGTGCAGGGGGCAGCTGGTCGATGTTTCTCTCTCATCGATGTTTCTAACTCTCTCTCTCTCTCTCCCTTCTCTGTAAAAAAACAAAAAAATATATTTAAAAATATATATATTTTTTATTGATTTCAGAAAAGAAGGGAGAGGGAGAGATAGAAACATCAACGATGAGAGAGAATCATTGATCTGCTGCCTCCTGCACACCCCCTACTGAGGATCGAGCCTGCAACCTAGATGTGTGCCCTTGACCGGAAGAGAATCAGGGACCTTCAGTCCACAGGCCAGAGCTCTATGCATTGAACCAAACCGGTTAGGGCCCTTTCTTTTTTAAAAAGTAGTATTTTTACTGATTTCAGAGAGGTGGAGAGAGAGAGAGAGAGAGAGAGAGAGAGAGAGAGAGAGAGAGAGAGAGAGAGAGAGAGAGAGAGAGAGAGAAACATCAATGATGAGAGAGAATCATGAGAATCATTGATCGGCTGCTTCTTGTACACCCCTACTGAGGATCAAGCCCACAACCTAGGCATGTGCCCTTGACCAGAATCCACCCAGGGACCTTTCAGCCTGCAGGCCAGTGCTCTAACCACTGAGCCACCCAGCCAGGGCATGAACTATTTCTTTTTATTACCTTAATTTTAAAGAGCCATATGTGGTATAGTGGCTACACTCCTGGCCAGGGAATGCTGAACAGTCTTTATTACCATTTGCAGAGAACCTACCTGTGGCTGCTCAAGGTGGGTGGCCTCTTGATTCCTAGTACCTTGCAAAGACTTCTTACTTGCAAATTTTCTCTCACCCCGCCCTGTCATAAATCTCCTAACTGCTTCATTCTACTCTTCAGCCCAGAACAGACAGGCGCCCTATTCTCTTCACTGGACAAACAGGGGGAAGTTTTCTCACTCCCCTTTGACTGAGGCAGCAGCCTTACCGGGTTCTCTGTTCTGCAGAGTTCCAAGCTTCTGGAACTCTCTCCGCATCACCGTGGTGCCTTTGTCTCTTTTTAACCAGCATTTTTTTCTCTCTCGGTCCGCATATGTGTTCTCTCAGGTCTTGTTTTGGTGTGAGGGGCCACTAGCTTAAGGTGACCAGATGTCCCGATTTTTAACAATTTGTCTCATGTCACACGGCATAAATTGTTCAAAAGCGGGACGTCTGGTCCCCTTACACTAGCTCAGTCCACCGTGTTGCCAGAAGCACAAGCCGACTTTGATCTGTGCCACATGTTTAGCAGCCACAACCCGGGGACACCACCGCCTCTCCGATGACTGTACCGCTTAATGAAACACAATAGGACATTGGGGAGTAGACTTACCGCTTCACCCGCCCGGTAGTGTCCTGACTCAGTTCTTTCATTCTTTCTTCTACTTTGTTCAAAAGCTGTGATGAAAAGAAATCAAATCAATGGGCTTCTAGAATAGGCTGAATGGAACCGCGGCTAAATGACAGCAGGAGCTTGAGGCTGTGTTGACAGCTGTGTGGACAGGGGGGGTACCCAAATACACCTGGTCCTCCCCTTCCTACGCAGCAGCCTCTACGGGTTCTGCATCCCACACCAACCAGTCCCCGAGCCGCTGGCCTAACCTGGGTCTAAGTTACCAAGGAAACAATGGGAAAAGGGGAGGCTCAAGGGTAATAGAGATTGAACATCTCGGCTTAAGCTTTACATTGGACAGTAACATCAGTCCTCAAGCTATCCAGGGAAAAGTGGCAGCCAGGATCCTACAAACGACTGAGGACCAACTATTTCGCTTCTAAAACCACTCATTGTGGAGGGAGGAGCGTCTACTGTTTGCTGGGAAGTCACAATGTAAGTGAAATGATTGTAGCATTATTAAACGGAGCTGGGCCGAAACCGGTTTGGCTCAGTGGATAGAGCGTCGGTCTGCGGACTGAAAGGTCCCGGGTTCGATTCCGGTCAAGGGCATGTACGTTGGTTGCGGGCACATCCCTGGTGTGGGGTGTGTAGGAGGCAGCTGGTCAGTGTTTCTCTCTCTCGTCTGACGTTTCTAGCTCTCTATCTCTCTCCCTTCCTCTCTGTAAAAAATCAATAAAATATATATATATTTTTAAAAATTAAACGGAGCTGGCTTTGGGACCCTCAAATACTTGAGTCAATAAATAACGGTGAAAAACCGACACTGTCAACTTCTTTGCCTTCTGCATCGCCGTCGTAACTCTGAAGGTCCAGCAGCACCAATCCATGGGGGTAGATTCTCAGATTGGCAAAGCTACGAAGGAAAGCAGAATTTTAAGCTGAGGAATTGTATCAAAAGGGGGAAAAATGTCAACCAGTTCAAAGCAAAGACCAATTCTCCTCCGCCCCCTCCCTCCCAAATGACATACCTAACCCTGCTGCCTCCGTTTTAGAGCCACTTAGGGTCAGGAAAGCTGCCAATCATTCCGGAAAGATTTAGAGTCGTCGAACACTAAGGTTTTCAAAACAGGTTCTTGGGCCCAGAAACTCATTCAGTAGCAAGTTCTGTGAATCTGATTTTTAAGAAGCTTTCCCAACACGTGATCAGACAGGTGTAGTGACCACAGGGGAAGAGGGTGGGAGGGGCCAACCAGGTTCTCCCCATTAACCTTCAGAACTCAAACAGAGCCATATGCCGAGTGGCCAGGTTATGATGATCTCTGAACGCATAATATCTGGCCACTCAGTGTATATCCTATATAATAAAAGGCGAATATGTAAATTGTCCCCTGGACCAGGAGTCTGACCAGTAGATAGGCCAGCCAACAGCCCATGTCTCCTCCTCTGGCCAGGCTGGTCGGATCCCACCCATGCACGAATCCATGCACTGGGCCTCTACATACATACACACACACACACACACACACACACACACACACACACTGAGTGGTCAGATTATTATGTGTTCAGAGATCATAATAATCTGGCCACTCACTGTACATAACACAGGGACACAGAAGAGTGTGGTGACAGCCTGTGGCAAAGGGGGAGAGGGGATGTGGGTTAGATGGGGAGGTAATGGGGACAGAAAAGACTTTGCTTGGGGCCGTAGGCCCACAATGCCTTGATGATGCTTTGTTGTGTTGTACACTTGAAACCTGCAAACTAATGTCACCCCAATAAATCCAATTTAAAAAAAAAAAAAAGGAAAGGAAAACCAGAGCCGGTTATTTCCAAATGCAGGCAGGAGTGATTCAATTTGCTCAGTTCAGGGTCAGCACGTTCCCTGCAGCCTGCAAACCAGATCTGGCCCACAGCACGTTTTATATAGCCCGCACTCTAAACATGTTTTTACGCTTTTAAGGAGCGCTTTTCTTTTAATAAAAGGAGAATCTGCAAGAGAGACTTTATGTGACTCTTTACAGAAATAGCTTTCTGGCCTCTGATGAAATAAAACTGTGAGAGTATCACATCCAGTAAGAGTTAATTATCTGAGGAAGCATTTTTTCAATTGTCCTGTGTATTTGTACCGTATATACGCAGATGTGTATGTGATGATGTGAAGTTACTTCCTACTATGAGTCATGGTTCAAGACATATCTGAAATATACTGAATGAGAAGATGAATTCTGTTCAGAGACTATAGGCCAGGTGTCGGCAACCTACGGCTCTTTTGAAGCTTTACCGCGGCTCCGAAACTTGCAAGCCTGTGTGAAAATGAAGGTAATGTCTTACAGCCCTGATGTGCTGACACTGTGCACTGAGGTTCAGGAGCAAAAATCCCATTAACCAGGTAAATTAATTTTAATTAGCTATTAATTTGCAAAAATATATTTTACATTGTTAAGTGAAAAAGTCCTTTTTTTCTTCAGATTGACAGCTAACTGCACGATCCGGTATATAGCATTAAGGTAAGAAACAATAGATGCAGTGTTATATTTGTTTTAAATGTCGCAATGGTTTTGCGGCTCCCAGGTTGTTTTTTTTTCCTTTGGAAACGGGTCCAAGTGGCTCTTTATGTCTTAAAGGTTGCAGACCCCTGCTATAGGCAATGTGCTTGGATGTAAAAATAAATGCAACTAGTTAACTTTCACCTTCAGCCCCTAGAGGGCCTCAAAAGCAAGTTCATGGGGCAGGGGCGGCTCCGCGCGGCAGACCGCAGAGATGCCTTAACCTGTTCACCGAGCGGGACCTATAAATACATCAAACGTAAACAATATCGGGAATGGGTAGGACATATGAATATGTCCTGGAAATATATGTTGCACCCTGAGAGGATGGTATATATTTTTTGTAATCTTTATAATTGTTTGTAAAAATTTATAATTTTTGTTTTAATATTATTGAGTTTTTACAGAGATGAAGAGAGAGGGATAGAGAGTTAGAAACATCGACCAGCTGCCTCCTGCACACCCCCCATCAGGGATGTGCCCGCAACCAATGCACATGCCCTTGACCGGAACCGAACCTGGGACCCCTCAGTCCGCAGACCGACACTCTATTCACTGAGCCAAACCGGTTTCGGCTAAAATTTATAATTTTTTAATTTGATGTTTCCACTTTTTTTGTTGGTATTCTTTTCTATTTGTTTGTCATTTTGTATTTTCCTTTGTGCTTTACATATAGTAATAAACGAGAAAATATATATATTTCATTTATTTTAATTAAGTATAAATAAAAAATAATACTAATATGAAATTACGTCCTCCGGGCGTGACATACTGACACATCCTAGTGAAAGAGTACGCGCCCTTTACAGGTAGCTTCATTAAAAAGGGAACTCCCCGGTTAACAGGTTAAGAGTCGTGTCCTTTTCCTTGCCAGCCTAACGGGACGAGGGGAACTAGTCAAAGTGACTGTGAGATGAGTGATAGGTCCCAGGTGGCGTTTGGTGCGTGTGTGTGTGTGTGTTTTTTTTTGTTGTTGTTTTAACTTTTATTTTTATTTTTATTAAATTATTATCTGTGTACAGCCAAAACCGGTTTGGCTCAATGGATAGAGCATCGGCTTGGGGACTGAAAGGTCCTGGGTTCGATTCCAGTCAAGGGCATGTACCTTGGCATGTACTGGTGGGGGGTGTGCAAGAGGCAGCTGGTTGGTGATTCTCTCTCATCGATGTTTCTAACTCTCTCCCTTCTTCTCTGTACAAAATCAATAAAATATATTTAAAAAAATAAATTATTATCTGTGTACATATTTTAACATTGCCCCCTCCCTCCCCAGAGTTTTGAGTCCATTGGTTGTACTTATATGCATGTATACAAGTCCTTCGGTTGATCTATTATCTCCCCCAGATCTCCCTACCCTCCCCGCTGTAATTTGACAGTCTACTTGTTGATATACTGTCTCTATATCTATCTTTTGGTTCATCAGTTTATAATGCTCTTTATTATCCACAGATGAGTGAGGTCATGTGGTGTTTCTCTTTCATTGATTGGCTCATGTCCCTCAGCATGATGTTCTCCAATTCCATCCAGGTTGCTGCAAATGATGAGAATTCCTTCTTTTTTATGGCACCATAGTATTCCATTGTGTAGATGTACCATGGTTTTTGGATCCAATCATCTGCTGACGGGCATCTAGGCTGTTTCCAAATCCTAGCTATTGTAGATTGTGCTGCTATGAGCATAGGGGTGCATTTATCTTTCTGATTGGTGTTTCTGGTTTCTTAAGGAGGCTCCCGCTCGGCTCCCGGCACGTGACCGCCCAGGCCCCGCCCCCGCGCCGCCATCTTACATCTGGGGCGAGGCGGTGTCCCTCCCGCCTCCTGGGCAAGCCTCCACGTGTCGCTAGCAGTCAGTCCCAAAAGCGGGGGCCCTGATTCCACGCATCAAAGTGCTGAGGCCGCGGGCCATACCCTCCCCCTCCCCCCCCTTAACGGCACAAAATGAGGCCCCTAACAACTGCTCCCCGTCCTTGCCCGCAGAGAAAATGGCGGCACTCACCGCCATCTAAGTGGACAGGTTGTACTCTGGGGTTTCCAGTTTCCGGCACGGTGATCCCCAGCAGGCGAGGTCACAGCCACGTGGGCCCCACCCCGCCGTGGGGCCCAGCGCTGCATCGGCGGGAAAGCGGCGGGAAAGCGCGGCCGGCTGCAATGCGCAGGCGCCGGGACTGGGGGTTGCCTTTTTTTCTTAAAGGCGAAGTTTGGGAGAAGGTCGGCTGCCCTGAGAGTTACCTCTGCTGCTGGCCCAGAGAAGTTACTTTTTGCCTCCCATTTAGGAGTTTTGGCTTAAGTTAAATTGTTTTAAAGAAAAAACAAGCAGGGGTTGTCTAAAATTCAGAACGTCCAGTTAAGTACGAATTTGAGATAGTTTTGTAGTATTTGCGTTCCCCCCTGTACTATTTATTTAACTGGGTGTCCTGTATTTTTATCTGCGAAATCTGGCAATCCTGTCATCAGGCTCCGGAAAACCGGGCTGCACTTAACAAAAGGAAGGGATGGAGGAATGGGGGGGGGGGGGGGGGGATGGGGAGGAGGAGGTTGTTCCCACTTGGCAGAGACTTGGATCCTTTCCTGGAAGTCTGAGGGCTTAAGTTCAGACTCCACAATCTGGCAACAACACATAAAGAAGCATCCATGTGTAACTCATTTTTGGAAAAGTAAGATCTTCCCCTTAAACCAGCACAATATAATCCTATATAATGAAAGGCTAATGTGTAAATCAACCGAATGGCAGAACAACCAGTTGCTATGGTGCGCATTGACCATCAGGGGACAGACGCTAAATGCAGGAGTTGCCCCCTGGTGGTCATTGCACCGGAAAGTGGGCTCATGACTGGTGAGCCCAGTGGCAGGAGCCTCTCCTGCCTCCAAGGTAGTGCTAAGGATTGTCAACTGCTGGCTTAGGCCCACTCCCCACAGCCTGCCTAAGCCTTCAGACATCCCCGAGCGCTTCTGGACTGAAAGGGGACACAGGCCAGGCTGGGGGAACCCCATCCCCTCATCCCCCCATGCTCCATTTTCATGCACCAGGCCTCTGCTGTTTAATAATAGAGCCTCTTGGCCAAGAAACTTGTTGCAAATTGAAGATTACCTAACACTGTCTTTTCCTTTCTGTTTTATTTGGTATTGGTGACGGAACAGTTTCTGAAGCAAGTTAAAAAGCACCCTGCCTAACATGTTTCAAAATAAATATATAGTATGCAAATTAAGAAAAAAAAAAAAAACTCCCAGTGACACATCTCACGTTATGCTTATTCCTATGAAGGTAGTTTGCCTGGGATGTTGAATCTTTTAACTATTTCCAATTAACAATATTTATGTATTTATTTTTATGTGTATATAAAAAATAAAAAAATAAAACTCAAGTTCATGCCAAAACTGGTTAGGCTCAGTGGATAGAGCGTTGGCCTGCCAACTGAAAGGTCCCGGGTTCGATTCCAGTCAAAGGCATATACCTTGATTGAGGGCACATCCCCAGTGGGGGGTGTGCAGGAGACAGCTGGTTGTTGTTTCTCTCTCATTGATGTTTCTAACTCTCTATCCCTCTCTCTTTCTCTCTGTAAAAAATCAATAAAATGTATATATTTTTTAAAACTCAAGTTCAGGCCCAGGACCCCACACATTCATCTATAATACATCTGAATGAGCTGATCACACACACACACACACACACACACACCCGCCCAGCAGCACAAAAGAATGGGGTCCTTTAACCACCTGGATGGTTGTAGCTGATAAGGTGACCAGACGTCCCGCTTTTTGCGGGACAGTCCCGATTTTTTAACAATTTGTCTTGCGTCCCGCGGTGTTTAAAAAAAAAAAAAAAAAAAGTCCAAAAGATTTAAAAGAATCTTTCCAAAAATCGGGACTTCTTTAAAACGCCACGGGATGCGGGACAAATTGTTAAAAATCGGGACTGTCCCGCCAAAAGTGGGACATCTGGTCACCTTATTGTAGCAGAGTCCTCTGTCAGAGAACCAGGGGACACAGAGAATGCTGGAAGGTAGGGTGCTAAGCACCAACCTCGAGAAATGACCCAGAAAGAGAAAGAAGATAGCAGCGGGGAATATGGAGGACATGTAAGAAGGTGTCTGAGGACCAGGACCTTGGCATGGCCAAGGGGCCATTACCAGAAGCCAGGCCAGAAGAGGGTGTGGAACGGCCGTGCGTCCCTAGAGCAGGTGCCAGGATGGTGGTGGGGGCGGGGAGTGAGGTTTTAGAACTGGTAGCATCACGGGTCAAGCACCACGGGGATGGGTCCCAGCTGCCCAAATGAAAAAGGAAGACCGATGGAGAAAATACGTTTTTAAACTAAGCATGCTCCTTTTAATTTCTTCTGCTTATAAAAGCAATTTCCAAACAGCTCCTGTCACCCAAAAACTCTCCAGAGGAATTGTAAGCCCTCTGGACGGCTGGGATTGGTGTCTGGGGGAGAAGCTTCAAGAACTGCAATAGAGCTGAAACCAGTTTGGCTCAGTGGATAGAGCGTCAGCCTGCGGACTGAAGGGTCCCAGGTTCGATTCCAGTCAAGGGCATGTACCTTGGTTGTGGGCACATCCCCAGTAGGGGGTGTGCAGGAAGCAGCTGATGGATGTTTCTCTCTCACTGATCTTCTCAGGGGTTTCCCATCACTTTACTTTCTCCCACCTCCTTACTCCATCGCCAATGGATTTCATGTAACCCACCTACATCCCTCCTTTGATTGCAATGTATAAATACAGATGTAACCCGCCATTTCTCCAAAGCATTATCTCAATTCTTTGAGGTTCTGCTTCCCGGCCTATGTCGACAGTTTGGCTCAAACTCAAAAAAATCCTTAACAGGTTTCAATGGTTTTTTTAGTATTACATATGTCCCTCTTCTCCCCCACACTGACCCTTTCTAGCCAGCCCCGCCCTCTCCCCAGGTCTTCACCACCCTATTGTCTGTGTCCATGCGCTCCGCACATATGCATACAAGTTCTTTGGCTGATCACTTCCCACCTACCCACCTGCCCTCCCCCTGAACATGAGATTTTGTGGAAGTGCTCCCAGGGAGTGCTCCCAGGCGAAGCTGCTGTGCCGGTAAGGCCCAGAAGCACTGAATTCTAGCCTCCTCTTAGAAACTGTCAATGAAGGGGGGGAAAAAATCCCTGGCCACCACCACCCTCTACCGCCCTCTGCACCCCTCCCCCATTCCTGGAGTGCTCAGATGTAAAGGGGAGCACTCCGGGCCATCTCACCTGCCGTTTTTGTTTATGTAGGTCGCCAAGTAGCCGTGGTCCTGCCAGGTGTGCACCGACTCGGTCATCCCCTGCTCCTGGAAAATGGACTGGAGGCCTTTTAGGATGGTCTCGCTGTCGGCTGGAGGAGGGAGAAGGCAAGGTGGTCAGAGGAATCACATGCAAAAGAAAAGCCAGTAGAAACCCAGTTTGACGACTAAACTTGAGAAAAACCTGAACAACAAGTAGCCGGAGTCCCATTTGCCATGAGCTATCAAGATTCTGGAGCCCTGGTCTGTTTGGCTCAGTGGATAGAACATCAGTTTGCGGACTGAAGGGTCCCGGGTTCAATTCTGGTCAGGGGCACATGCCCAAGTTACAGGCTCCATCCCCAGTAGGGGGCGTGCAGGAGGCAGCATATCAATGATTCTCTCATCATTGATGTGTGTGTCTCTCTCTCCTCCATTCCTCTCTGAAATCAATAAAAATATTCTAAAAAAACAAAAAACAAGATTCTCGACTCTGCAAGGAGAGGATACAGATTACCAAGTAACACAAAAGAACACAGTTAATTTAAAGATCCAGAGATGAAATCATCTTGGATTATCCATATCCAGGTGGGTCCTAAATGCAATGATGTCTTTATGAGGCAGGAGAGAAGAACAGGGAGCAAGCACAGGTGATGTGAAGGCAGAGGTAGAGGTTGGAGTGACACACCACAGACCAAGGACACCTGGAGCCACCAGAAGCTATGAGCAGCAGAGACAGGTTTGGCTCAGTGGATAGAGCATCGGCCTGCGGACAGAAAGGTCCCAGGTTCGATTCCGGTCAAGGGCAAGTAATACCTTGGTTGCGGGCACATCCCCAGTGCGGGGTGTGCAGGAGGCAGCTGGTTGATGTTTCTCTCTCATCGACATTTCTAGCTCTCTATCCCTCTCTGGAAAATCAATAAAATATATTAAAAAAAAAAAAAAAAAAAAAAAAAAGCTGTGAGCAACCAGGCCCCTCCCCCAGAGCCTTCAGAGAGAGCCAGGCCTGCCTATACTATTTTCCAATTCCAGCCTCCGGACCTGGGAGTCTGGAATAAGCTTCCGTTTTAAACCACCCATCTTTAATACTTGATTACAGCAGCCCCTAGCAGACTAACAGACCCATCCAAATGCCTAGTTTCAGCTTCGCTTACACAGGATAAAATGGAACAGCAAAATGGCAGTGAACAGGTGAATTTGTAGTCCTCTGAATCCCCACACACAGAGCAATGAGGGTACCACCCCCCCAAACTCAAGGACACCATTTAGAACAAAACTAGATGACAGGGCGGCCCTGCAAACCCCAAAACAGGAGGAGGTGGAGACAAGCGGGATAGCGCCCAGGGACCTGTGTGTACCGGCAGGTGTAGAGAGGAAGTTGAGAAAAAGCAGGGAGAGCAGGGCCGGAGAATGTCAGGGTGGCCCTCTGGACCACCCAAGTGAACTGAGGCCACTTCCAGGAAACAGCCCCACTTCCGGGAGAGAGTTCTGGAGCAGAAGCCACACCACACCCCCATGGGAACAAGGCATCGACCAGCAGGAGCAGTGACCTTGTGTCTCATCCAGTCTCACTCATTCCCAGGAAAAGCGTGTCTATAGGACACTCATTTGGCAGAAAATGATCTAGCTGGCTTCTCTATCCTGATATTGGGTTCAGGAAATTAAAAGGAAAGATCGGGCCCTAACCGGTGTGGCTCAGTGGATAGGGCGTTGGCCTGCGGACTGAAGGGTCCCATGTTTGATCCCCGTCAAGGGCATGTACCTTGGTTGCGGACACATCCCCAGTGGGGGGGGAGGAGTGCAGGAGGCAGCTGATCGATGTTTCTGACTCTCTATCCCTCTCTCTTTCTCTCTATAAAAAAATCAATAATATATATTTAAAAAAAACAACAACACCTAGAACTTGGAAGAATAGTAGAACACTTAAAAAATGAGGCAGGAGAGAAGAACAGGGAGCAAGCACAGGTGATGTGAAGGCAGATAAATAAAATGCGCTCTATGTAGATTATATTTAAGTTAAAACAAAAGCCTGTTCCACCCTTACCACCATGACTGGCTTAACCCAGTGGTCGGCAAACTGTGGCTCTCACTGTTGACTAATGAGTTTGCCGACTGCTGACCTAGACTCTCGATTCCAATAATTGTAGGCTGTTGTTGTTCCTTGTGATTAAGCCCCTATCCAAGGGGCACGGGAAGAGTTTGGTGGGGGTACGCGTTGCACCGGAGTTTGGTGGGGATATGCACTGCACCATGCTTAGCTGCGCCTAATGCTACGTTCTCATGAGTACAAGGGGTACTCAGCGTTACGAAAATTATAGAAGGGGTACACATATGTCAAAAGTTTGGGAAACACTGGCCTAAGGCATAGAGGACATCTGAACTCCCCCAGGATATGCTAGGCATAACCCCAAAACCATGAATGTCGACCGGCAGTGAGTCCAGATCACTAAAATCAAGTGATATACAGAAACAGTCTTCATACTTCACAAGAGCTTACATTTAAAATGACATAAGATTGTTTTACTTTTTGCCCGGCTGGCATGGCTCAGTGGTTGAGCATCAACCTATGAACCAGGAGGTCATGGTTCAATTCCTGATCAGGGCACATGCCTGCGTGATGAGCTCAATCCCCATTGTGGGATGTGCAAGAGGCAGCCTAACCAGGATTCTCTCTCATCAATGTTTCTTTTTTTTAAAATATATTTTTATTCATTTTTTACAGAAAGGAAGGGAGAGGGAGAGGGAGTTAGAAACAGCGATGAGAGAGAATCATCGATCAGCTGCCTCTTGCACACCTTCCACTGGGGATGTGCCCGCAACCAAGGTGCATCCCCTTGACCGGAATCGAACCCAGGACCTTTCAGTCCGCAGGCCGACGATCTATCCACTGAGCCAAACCGGTTTCGGCTCTCATCAATGTTTCTATCTCTCTCCCTTCCTCTCTGAAATCAATAAAAAAAAATTTTTAAATATATTTTATTGAGTTTTTACAGAGAGGAAGGGAGAGGGATAGAGAGCTAGAAACATGGATGAGAGAGAAACATCAATCAGCCATCCCCTGTATACCCCCCACTGGGGATGTACCCACAACCAAGGTACATGCCCTTGACCGGAATTGAACCCGGGACCCTTCAGTCTGCAGGCCAACGTTCCATCCACTACGCCAAACCAGTCATGGCAATAAAAAAAAATATTTTAAAAAAAATAGAAAAAAAGGATTTAATGAAAAGATTGTTTTAATTTTTAAATTTTAGCCTAGTGTCTGTGTATCAGGAGTCTTTTCACACATTCAGAGGCCTGAGGCATTTCCAGGGATTAAAGTGAAGGTCAGACAGGTGGTTTCCTTAGGACTGCTTGGTCTTATAGTCCCACACGTTCTTTATATCTAATATAACAGCAGCAAGACGATTCATCACCTCGTACTAAACCCAAGCCAATGGGAATGTTCGGAACATGATTCATAAGAATCAAAATGTGCAAATACTCCAATTGGCCAAAATGTGATACATGGATAAGCAAAACATGGTATGTTCATACCTCCAACTATTATATACTCAGCAACAGAAGAAACACAGCACTGACACTCGCTGCACCATGGCTGGCCCTTGAAGACACGACGCTGAGTGAAAGGAGCCAATCACACATGACCATCTTATATAATAAAAGGCTAATATGCAAATGACTGAATGGTGGAAATACCAGTCACTATGATGCACACTGACCACCAGGGGGCAGACACTCAACGCAGGAGCTGCCCCCTAGTTCTCAGTGTGCTCCCACAGGGGGAGCACCGCTCAGCCAGAAGCCGGGCTCATGGCTGGTAAGCACAGCAGCGGTGGTGGGAGCCTCTCCCGCCTTCGTGGCAGCGCTAAGGATTTCTGACTGACGGCTTAGTGGGCCGGACTGCAAGAGGGTACAGGCCAGGCTGAGGGACACCCCCCCACAAGTGCATGAATTTCATGCACCAGGCCTCTAATATACTATAGAACCTCATTTACCCGACATAGCCAAAAAAGGCAAACCCGTAAATACAAAGGGCAAATTAGGGGGTGCCAGGGCTGGGAGGAATGGGGATGATGCCTAAGGGGCACAGGTTTCTGCTTAGGACTCAGGGGTCCTCAAACTTTTTAAAGTGGGGGCCAGATCACGGTCCCTCAGAGAGCTGGAGGGCAGGACTATATGAACTACTAATTCCTACTGTAACACCTCGGCTGCGCTCACTGCCCAAAAAACCTGGCGGGCCGGATCAGACTCCTCTGCGGGCCCCATGTGGCCCGCGGGCCGTAGTTTGAAGACGCCTGGTAGGTGATGAAAATATTTTAAAATTGTGGCGACAATAGCTTGACTCTGAATATACAATGGATACCCAAATCCAGAAATGCATAGAGGCCCAGTGCTAACACCAGGCCGCCTGCCCTCTCCCGGAAGGAATCATTCGAGCAACATAAGGCATGCTCGGACTCCATGGGCTGAGGGCCATCTTTTCAGACACGAGGAAGGAGTCCAGTCAGGCCAGAGCTGTGCAAGAGAAAAGGGGATGATCACCAAGGCTGGAGGCAGAGACGAGGTCAAGGCCATGAAGTAAGGTGACCAGACGTCCCAATTTTTAACAATTTGTCCCATGGGGTTTTAAAACAGTCCCAATTTTTTAAAAGAATCGGGACTTCTTTAAAATGCCGTGGAACGCGGGACAAATTGTTAAAAATTGGGACTGTCCCGCCAAAAGCAGGTCTGGTCACCTTACCATAAAGGGCCCTCTCTAGGAACTGCACCCATCCCAACCGGAAGAAGTTAAAGGTGTGACACAAAAGCAGGCCCCGGGCATATAAAAGAGGCATGCCAGCCGAAACCGGTTTGGCTCAGTGGAAAGAGCATTGGCTTGTGGACTGAAAGGTCCCAGGTTCGATACCGGTCAAGGGCATGTACCTTGGTTGTGGGCACATCCCCAATAGGGGGTGTGCAAGAGGCAGCCGATCGATGATTCTCTCTCATCGATGTTTCTAACTCTCTATCCCTCTCTCCTCCTTTCTGTAAAAAATCAATAAAATATATATTAATAAAAAAAAAAAAAGAGGCATGCCAATCGGCAAGAGGGGACGTGTAGGGTTTGGGT